ATGCCTTTGGGCAGCAGTCTTCTGCACTTCTGCATGAGTCTTCTTACAGAAATGCTGCCCAGGGAACTCCTTCTGTAATAATGTTTCTTAAAAGTGACAGTTAACGTGACTCTGCCAGCTCTGAAACAGACACTGGACTGACCTGCTGAAAACTGTTAGTAAAAGGTAGCAATGATATAAATAGGACTACTTTTGTTATTGTGATCCTTTCCTGTTTGTGACATTTTTTTAAGTCATTAATTAAGACTATGCTTTGAAGATGCTACTTGTTAGATTTCAGTTATATGTAAGGGTGAGGAACACATAGGTACTAATGGTACAAGTCCCCATAATGTCAAGTGTTCCCAGCTGACTCCAGTTCTTTCATCCATAAACAGCAGAAGAGCAGATGTACAGGAATGGGTTGTTGTTTTTTTTTAAAATGTAGTTCAAACCATAAGTATGTTTGTGCAAGATGTATTTATTTACAGCAGATTTGTAGCCTCCAGTTGTGACTACTGAAAGATGTCGTGTGCATATGTCATGAAAATATGTGGCTAGGAATAGGAGAAAGAACCTATTCCCGACACCATCAGTGGGAAGAACACAGGGCAGACAACAGACAAACCCCACGGGTCTCAGCTTGTAGACAAGCCCTCTGGGATCAAGGCTTCTGACACCCAAATTTGTGTAACATGTCACACACACTGACTAAACTGCCAAGTGGCTATGGAGCATTAGTGCCACTGAAGAGCAAAACATCATCTTCATCAGTCCAGATTCTGGAAATGGCTTATATTATACATCAACAAAGACAGGGAAAGGTTTGCAAAATGAATGCAATCTAAATTCCTTCCACTGAAACAAAAGAAATCAGCTCCGTGACTAATTTTTTACTGAGTTTGAAGAAAGAAAAATTATTGAAATATAGCATAAATTTTCTCGAATCAAAATTGAATATGGAAGGAAATTAGCAGCTACAGATTATTTTATTTTAGAAATGAGTGAACTGTCATGTTTTAAAAAAGTAAAGCACAGAAGCTCTAGGAATTGCCAAATTCTTGGAACTAAAAGGTGTGAATACACAGAAAGGTCTCCTAGATCTGCGATAAACCTGTTAAAACACTGAGTAGAAATTTTATAGATTCTTTTAAATACACCTGTCAAATATTTTTCTGTCAAACAATGCTTCAGGCATCCAGAAAGCATGTGAACAAGCCCGACTGCTTTTAAAACACATCAGGTGCTTGAGAGACTAACAAAGTTCCCTGTTGGAATTTTTTTTTCTGTTTTACAAAACAGGAGTATGGGAAGCTGGACAGAGATGACAAAAAACCCAAATCATACTAGATTTCAGTCTTTGAAAATAAACCCCCTAAAGGGTAAAATATCATTATAGCAACACAGTAGATATTTATGAAGCAAACAGAATGCCATTATAAAACTGCAAAAGTTAATCTCCTTAGTTTGCAGCCTTAATGCCAATAGTGGATATGTGCAATGGCCTAGTTTGCTCACACCTCTTCAGCCAGGCAAGGATAATCTGGTGGAATTTACAACACCTAAATAAACAGGTATTTGAAAGTCAAAAATCCAATTTGAAGCAATTTTGAACTCATCAATTTGCTATCAGAGAAGAATAAAATAGAGATAGAAAACAGCAAGTACATTTCTCTTGAGCTACAGCAAGTAAAAGACCAGTGCTGGAGTTAGGCCAGTGTCAAGTGCTGATGCTTTCAGCGAGGACCCACTGCACCTCTTCTTCAGAGAAACCCAACAACATGAAAGTATTTGGCTGAATTCCTGCAGTGCACCAGGCTGCCAGGACACTGTTAATCATCCTAGAATACAACACAGCCACTGCTGCTGAATTTATACTATCTAAACCAATGACCAAGACTTAGATTGAAGTATTCCTTTCACTATACCATGAAAACATCAACAGGTTTCTCAGGCTGAGAACTGTTAATCTACTCTGTATAAGCCATTATGAAGTATTACAGTAGCATCTGATATTAGCTGGCAAATTTCACACTTCTCATTAAATAAAGCCTTATTTCATATGGGCACCATTTCACACATTGCATATTGGATGCATTAAGAGGTTTCTACATTTTCTTAAACTAAGCCTTCTCTTTAAAGAGAACTATTATGATGTTGCAAGAGCTGGTGTCTCTGTCAAGCTTGTACTCCTTTTTGTCAACTACTGTAAGCCTCTAGTGCTAACATTTTTCAGCTCAAGAGGGTTTCCTTGACAGCTTGCACTCATCCCTGGGCACAGAACAGTTTTACTGTGTGACACCAGGGCACAGCCACATTTCTTCAACCTGATGTTCTATTTATCAATTTTGCTTACTCTACAAAAAAGAAATGTCTCCACAGTTCAAACTGGTCAGTGATCTAATAGGTTATTTATAAATATGGCATCTCCACTGCCTCCTGCAGGGTACTTATTATGAAAGGTTTTTGACTTGCTATCATTGCACTGCAGATATTGTACTTCCACTCTAACAGACACTGCATGTTCTCAGACACAGCAGATGCATGGGACACTGCTTGGATCTGGTGCTCTGGGTTCAAGCACTGCAAACCTGAGGCAGGGGTGTTACTTAGCTGTCAGTGATCCACTTCCCCACCTCCATCTCCCATTTTATTTCCACAGCAGGTTGCTCTGAAGTCTTCTGACAACAAGTCCAAGTCATTTACATATAACTAAGAAATAGACTTGGCACCTGCAGCTTACATATATTAGTCAATGTTACTCTTGATTTAAATTCCTCTCCACTATCATACACCTCTGTTGAGCACTGTTTTTCTGTATCTCTTGTTTCAAAACATTTGAAGCTCATAATTAACAGAAAGTTTAGCATCTACAGACAATGCAAGCAAAGGACTTACATGTATTCATCATATATTGATTGGTTTATTTACAATTTACCCTCCAATGTGGATTTAAATTTGTAAACGCCTTCTTGAGATTTTTGCTTCTGGAAAAACTTGGAAATCCAAATAGAGGGGTGTGTTTCTATATACACAGCTCTGGTGCAAGACTACCAGAAACACACTGTGGTTCCAAATAGCAGATAAATTTATTCAGGACATACTGGACCCCTCATTTACTCTTTTCAGAGTTATGCTCCTGCTAAAATTCTAGTCCATTAGCATAGCCTACAATCATCTAATTAAATGACAGCTGAAAGATGCACATAAAAATATTATAAAATCCTTCAAAATGTATAGACAAATAATTTGGAAACATTAAACCCCTCTGCAAGAACAGCTCAGTGGACTGTTATGGATTAGCATTCTCCTTGGAGGAGAGAACTTGGAATATGTAATAGGCTGCTACTGATCCCAGAAAAATGTTTTTATTTGGCCAAAGTTGTTTATTTTTCATTAACATCCCCTTAATAGCAACGGTCAACTACTTGAAATTTCACAACCATAAATGTAAGATTAAATGTAGCATCTGTTTTTAATAATAAATGTATCCCTGTTTTTACTATCCCTTTGCAGAACAAACTGAAAGCCCTCATAGATCTTACCAAAGCGATATGTTGAATTTATGAGGCAGTTTTGCTCTGTCATTGACATTTCACCATTTAACTCTTAGAAGTAACAGTATTACTACATGTTCAATTCCATTCAAGTAGCTATATAAGAGCAGAAGGGTTTTTTTGGCTGCTGCTATTTGCCCTTCAAGCTCCAGGCTCTTCTTCCCACGTGCAGAAAAAACCCACATCATAGTAACAAGGAACAGAATAAGACAAGCACTACAACACCAGTTTCTCAGTGATTAATATCTGCAAGAGGTGGAGACTAGAAAGAACTGTATTTCCAGTTCACTGCACAGGTAAAACAGGTATTCCTCAAGTCAAGAACGACATGTGCTTATAGCTTTCAATGTTTTTAGCCTCATTGTCCTTACCTTTCTTTTGACATCAATGAATTGAGAAAACATTAAGGACCAGTAGAATGACAATTCAACTATGTAGTAATAATGAAGGTCAGGCATCAGTGGCTGAAAGATGGAGATGAGAAAAAGTTAATAGAGACCAATTGACATTACAGGCAGCTGTGGTCTACAGGAGACATGTTTAATCACAGGGGGTTATTGAATTATACATAAGCGTCCTATGTAAGAAAAATGATGATGGTTGCCTCTTTCAAACTTTGACGGCTCTGGAAAAATAAAGCTCCCCAACCTACTCTCCTCGTATGTTTTAGTCATGACAATATTGTAATATCAAAAAATGATGATTATTTCAGTTTGGAACCCAGAACAAATTAAATTTTGAGTACTCCTAAGTCTGTTTCGAAAAATTACTTGAAATACCTTGCTGTACATCAGTAATGGGGGTTTAAAACATAGCAAAAGAAACAATGCTAGAGCAGATTAGAAAAAAGTAATGCTAGTATATAATCGCACCTACTCATGATGAAAATCTTGTGAGCTTTGAACAGGACTCTTTCTAATAGAAAAGCTTACTTTTAAGTAATTTAACCATTTTCTGGGAACATATTAACATTTGGAAAGAAGAAAAGAAAATAAATTTATCCAACCACCTTGTTTGATATACAGCATGGTTAACCAGATGTTTAAAAGTAATAAAAATAGTAAAACACGGGAATTTATGCACAACCAAAACCAACATGGGGTAACTTAAAAAAAGGTAATTGGTGGCATGCAGAAGCTGTTTAGCCTCCAGCCTAAGAGAGACAGTCCTAGAAGCTACTCTGAGTACCATGCAAATGTGCCTCCATGGTAGTCATGTCTTCCATGGCAGTGATAGAGGGACACTCAATGGCACAACAGAAGCTCCTGAGGGCATCCCCTGAAGGATGAGATAAACCATCTCTAGAGCAGTTAGCACTGGCACAACAGTGCACCCAAGCAGGGCATGAGCTGTTTCCATTGGCAAGAGGTATTTCACTTGCCTCTTTTATTCCCATTCCCTTTTGCAGACAAGCTCTTTGCAGCTGAGAAACAGTTGTTAGGTGCCCACTGAATGCTCTGTGGGTGTTATTTTAATATAGACAAAGCTTATGCTTTATGAAAAATGTGTACATTCAAAATCAATCTTTTAAAGTAATTTCTTGGGCCAATATAATCCTTTTCTGATTTAGTGAGGCCTCCAACAGACTTTTAATTAGGTGTAATTAAAAAAGGAAAAGAGATTTAGAGCTAGCAATGAACTGTGACTATTATACTCATTATTGCAGGGGAACTCACTGGGGAAAATTCCTAGTAAACAATGAAGATTGTTAGCTGCTTTATTAACAATAGCATTAGTATTTCTAAACCCACACATAACGATAACATAGGGTAATTCTAAAGATGTCATGGTTTCCCTCATTGGAACGATCAGTAATGTGTGTTTAACTTAGTTTAGATGTTAGGTTTCAGTTCTCCAGAGACTTAACTTCAATAGAACTATTCAGTGCTTATGGCTGTGCAGTCACCCAAATTATCTACAGCATATCTAGATATCTACAGGTATCTATGATCTAGACCACATCTACAGCAAAGTCCAGCTGGATTTCTGCAATGCATTGTTGAGTAAGTTACGAAGTATTTGTAGTAAACAAGAGACTGGAAATTTTATGTAGTTAAGGAAAAAGCAACAAAACAAATTGAAAACCCAGTACTTAATCTTGATTAGCACCCAGTAGAAACTTTTATCTTCAAGGCAATTATTTTCATAATGACTTCAATTTGATGATTTGCTTTCTGTTGGACACTCTCTACTACTAGCACAACTAGTATAATAGATATAGTAATTTCAGTTGCCACACTCTAAAAGCTGTAACCAGCTTTCTAAATTACCTTATTCTTCTGGTAGAGTTTGGTGAATGTATGTTCTTTAACCAATAAGACTCATGGTCTTTTGTCATAAGTAAATCTCCTATTGCATGGAATAACACACAAATAGTAGGAAACAGGACTGAAAGGCACCAGTGACTGCAGCCACATCAATTCGATGAAATGTTTGTGCCCAAAATTTATGAGGGATGAAGATTCAACACTCCCCCCCTTCAATTTCCACTGCTGCTTCTCTAATGCTGTTCAGTTCACCCACCAGTCCCTGGATGGAATTTAACTCATTATTTCTTCTGAGGCTAGATGACCAAATTCCTTCAAACTTTATCAGATTCTTGCTGAACTATCTCCACTGACATATTTCCAAAAGGTACAAAACCTTCAAGAAGAGTAGCACCCAAACACAGTTCTGTTCAGTCTTTTGAGAGCTGTTCACTGACACAGGAAATTTAAGTGTCTTTCGAACAATACTCTTCTTCATACTTTCCAGTCTGGCAATGACTTCCTCCGCGCCCCTTGCCCTTTAGGGAAAACAAAAAAAGAAAAGAAAATATGCCCTACGCAGGTTAAACCCCTTAAATTGCAAACTCTTCTCTGGAGCTTTTGGAATTCAATGTCAATTATATTTGGGTAGCAGCTAGTACAAAGCCTCGATGATCCCTATTAAAATTCCCAGAGGATGACTGAAAAAAAAAAAAAGGCATTTTAAACAACCTCACGTTTAGAATTAGAGTTCAGACTAATTAAAAAAAGCTACCCAAAGTTTTCACCAAAAGTTATTAAAAATCTTGAAGACCATCTTAGTCATATTTGAAACTTTTGTTACCTCTGATTTACACCCAAAGGAAAAGTTAATCTTCATAACTTTTATTACTTGTTGCCTCCTGTTATACAAAAGGTAGTAAGGAAACAGGTGGCTTAGCTTTCTCAGAAGGGTTTCCAAAGTTCATTCCTAGCTCATATACATGATGATTCTTCTTCTTCAAAAGGGTTACCTCCTTTACTGTCATTATTAATAATAATAAAAGGAAACATTTAATTAACTCATGGATCCTCATATTGTCCACATTGAAAATAACCTCTATCAGACTAGGAGGCAAAATGAGGCAGTGTTACAGCCAAGACAGAGTTCAGGAGTTGTATTTTCTGAAAAATACATTGAATCCTTTAGAGCAGGTTGACTGCTCTGTTTAAATACATCCTATACTTAACAACTGCATTCTACAGCACAAATCAATCAAAAGCACAGGAGGCTTCTCAAAGCTCTTTAGGTATGCAAACTTTGGAAGCACTGTTCAACCAGATGCTAACAGATAAAATTTCTGCCCTTCTCTTTTCACTTGTTGTGCTCTTTCTTCCCCTACAGTTAATCCTGGTGTTACTGCAGCACCTGCACATCATTGGAGCAACTGTTCTGCTGTGAAAGATGGCCAAAACTCAGACTTAGGAATTACGGATTTCTGGAACTAGTTAAAAACTTATCCATGCAGCAAGGAATAAATATACTGGTATTGTTCTTTTGAAGGCTGTTATAAGGAAAACAAATTTCAAACTTCAGCAATATTTTTGAGAACTGGAAGAGTGAATGGGTGCAGCAGGACATAACCTAAAAGGGCATTTTTACTGTAAGAGTGGCATTCTTCTCCTTAGTAAAGGAGATGAATTACTTGAGTACTTTCTATGAAGTTATATACTTTGACCTAGAACAGATAGAAATGCTGATGCTTTTTGAATACATGAAAATACAGACATTGCTGAAAATAAAGACGTGAAACCATTCTCAGTTCTCTTATTAATTTTACCTTTTGTTGTAAGCTTCCATGAGGCCAGAACTGGATACCCCCTATTTAAGCACCTCAAGAAAAAACAACTTTTGCTCCTCAATCTCCTCTTTATCACACCAACTGCTGGGGATTGTCTCACCCCCTGTGCAGTAGAACTATGAGAACCATACTGGCTTTTCTCAGTCTGCTGAATTCCAGGCTTTGCTAAAACTTTCAGTATCCTCAGAACTTTGTTAAAAATGACTCCTCTACCACTGCTGAAGACATCTGCTTCCACAGTGAGACTTCACAGATCTGTTTTAAGATCCTGTGCTTCATTTCAAAGCAGGTGTGACAGCAAAATTCATCTTTCCCATCCTGAACTCAAGCAAGATGGGAAGCATCTAGCATTGTTCTGAAATGCCGAGTAGCCCATTCACACCAACATATTGACACAAAGCTTCACTATAATAAAAACAGAGCTCTTCATAAGTATCATGTCTGTTTTAAGGCAGCACTGTAAGTTTTACCTGATATGGATACCCGTTCCAGCACTGTCTGGTATTCCAGAGCCAGGGTGTCTGTGAGACAAAGAAAGAAAAAACAAAACAAAGGTCTGTACACATCATTTTGTGCAATGTTAAGTGTATATGTTTAAAACGAGTGAAGGACAAAACTATAGGAACAGCTTAAAATTTCCAATTTTTGATAGAAACTATGAAAACTGAATAGAGCAAGGAGATTCCTCAGAGTTTCACAACATGAATTAGAGCAACTTGACTGTTTTTCATTGGTACCCCAGACCTCACTTTTGCAGGAGTGCAGGCTGAATGAAATCAGCTTGTGCTTAGGTGATCAGATCTCACATTACCTTCTCAATAGCACAGGAAATTTTGACCTCAGTTTGCTTAAATATTTTAAAGATGGTTCCATGCATGTGGCAAGGAACACACATAAGCATCCTTCCATACAGGACCCATCCTTCATCCCTGTCACATCAGCTCAACATAGCAATTCATACCTTTTGCTTTCTTGACTAAAGACATGGCCATCCAGAGATGATAGATCTTGCTATCACATGGAAAATACTCTGATATCTTAAGGCAACATGAAAGATGCCAGAGACAAATTTACTGTTACATGCATTTACAGACTCTTGCATTGCAAAAAGCTGGGCAAACTAAAAGACTTGAGAAGATGAAGCTCTGTTATGCTTCCTGTCTCTTTGCTGCTTGCATGAGATTTATGTGATTGTTTCTCTTTCAATACCACAAGAGAGCCTTTAAAATCTTTTATTGTAAACAGGTTATTTCTTTCAGAGTTCTGTAGTTTTTACCACCTTTTCCGTGCAACTAAATGGACTGGAGATAGAAAATACCATACAGGCAAGGTCTTCTACCCAACATACTCAACCATGAAGCATTTCCACCTTGGATAATAAGAACATGACCAAATCAACAGCTACCACTAGTGGCACTTCCCTTTTTGCTGAAGGAACAACTGCTTTCAGACATAAATGTCCTGCAAAGAACAGCTGCATCTCAGGTTCTGGCAGCATCTGGACCTTGAGAAGAACTTGTCTACACTACAAGTAACCACTCACAGGGCATCTCACTAGAAACATGAAAGAAAACTGTGGATCTAAGATTTTTGTGCAACTCCTTTACATAACCTTAACTGCTTCAAGTATAAAGGAGCAGAACAACATTAGTAAGTCTCCTGGATTAAAGCACACATACTCTTACAGCATCAAATGTTTCCCCAAGATTACAGTTTTTTCAAATAAATCCTCATTGCATGAGAGACAGCACGTCCTTGATTTCACCATCAGGTGGAGCAGCTCAGCTCAAGCAAAGCACAACAAACTCATGCGAAATACAACGTGTGAGTGTCAAAGCAATAAAATGAACACTAGGCAGAATGCTAAAGTGCAGGCTGGGAACCACACTAGGTAGGATGGATTTGTACCACACCAAAAGACAGGACAAATGCCAGTCAGAATTACAGCCCAATTCACAACTGGTACTTAAGTTCTAATTGTGGTTTGTCTTATAGAAGGTCCTTATAGCCTTTGCCAGTTAACAGTGATGTAGTATGATCATTAAAGGTTCTTCCTGCATTTTTGAATGTGTCCTTTGCATGGAAAAGAAGACAAAATAAAAGTACTCTATTTAATCTGTACCTGCAATGCCCCTGAAATGGCAAAGAATAATTCTTACAGTAGCCTGAGCAGCATACCAACATGCGGAGTAACAGACCTCCTAGAGTTTCTGATATGCCTCTCACAAGGATGATTAAAGTCCATCCAAATTTCTCCTTCTATTAGAAATAATTAGAAGCAATTTATTTGTTCAAACATGTCCACGGTAGTTACCATGCTATGTGATTCCTCTCATTTCATGCAATAAAAAAGGTCTTTGGAAATAGCCACAGGCCCTCTGCAAGATAATATACAGAATCTAAAACATTTCTATCTGACAGCTGCCCCAATTAGATACATACAAATATGCTAGGATAATTCATAGTTTTAGCCAGGTTTGAAAAGCTGTAACTGTCTTTCATATCAGACTCAACAAGAGATAAGAGATGCTTCCTACCCAATTATTTTGCTGCCTAAATTACAGGTCCTAGCAAGAAATGCACATTTTTCTCTTTCAAATATTATGACATCTTAAGGCTTCTTTAGAGAGATGCCTGCTGTAGGAGCTGCAGATACAGAGGTTTATATGCAATTAAAATGCTGATTGCTAAATAAAATAGGCCTCACTGGAGGAACCCATAACCACAAAGCCCAAAAGGATACCACAAATTGACAAGTAATGTAACGTATGCATTAAGCTTCAAAGACCAATACATTGCACAACATACGCCTCTTCCAAGCCACTTAAGGCTCAGAAAGCCACACTGCCATCTCAGACAAAATGCTTCTCAGTAGCTGTTTGGGAACCTAATGGATCCTGTGTGGGCAATAGTGGGTAAGACAGCAGGAAAAAAAGCAGGAATTCCATCTTCTCAGCCCTTTTTCCTCTCCAGTCTCCCCGCCCATCACTTGCCTTGGCAACTCTGAGTTGACTCTAACAGCTGTAGCAGCAGTGGTCTGTGGTTATGCTTGCCCTGGAGGGTTTTAGGGAAGATGTAGTAGAAGAGCTTGGTTTAAGCACAACCTTCCTCTCTGACCTCCGCAATGACCACAGTCCTAGACTGAACCTAACTTCTCTCTTTTTCCTCTCCAGTCTCCCCGCCCATCACTTGCCTTGGCAACTCTGAGTTGACTCTAACAGCTGTAGCAGCAGTGGTCTGTGGTTATGCTTGCCCTGGAGGGTTTTAGGGAAGATGTAGTAGAAGAGCTTGGTTTAAGCACAACCTTCCTCTCTGACCTCCGCAATGACCACAGTCCTAGACTGAACCTAACTTCTCTATGCAGACCACAGTTACAGATGGAACAAGGAGCATCTTTGGGGGTTGGTCTCTTTTCCCAGGCAACCAGCAGGAGGACAAGAGGGCACAGACTCAAGCACTGCCAGGGGAAGTTTAGGTTGGATATTGGGGAGATATTTTTTTACGGAAAGAGTAATCAGGCATTGGACTGGGCTGTCTGGGGAGGTGATGGATTCACCATCCCTGGAGGTTTTCAAGCTGAGACTGGATGTGGCACTTAGTGCCATGGTCTAGTAACGACGGTAGGGCTGGACTCGATGATCTTTGAGGTCTCTTCCAACCCGGTTGAGTCTATGATCTTGTTTAGCCCTCTGTGAACCTCACAACTGTGGGATACTATGTACAGGTCTCAGTAGGAAAGACAGAATTTTAAAAAAAGCTCACATAGTGCAGTGTGACACCTAGACACATTAGTGAAAGGTGGATTAATCAGCAAGGACCTAAGACTGGCATTCCCAGGGCCCACGCGTGCTCACAGGACGTGTCTGCAAAATTTCTCGCACCAGGCAAGTTCACCATAGCAGAGCACAGCTCTTCCTGAAAAGTCCCAGGATAGATGAGAAGAAAAGGTCAGTGATTTGGCTTCACAACAGAACCTCTTTTGATGAACATAAAAGCGTGCTACTGTTTCCACTGTCTGCTGAATATCTAATTTTCCATTTTACTTCTTACTCTTGGTACATAATCTCTGAGGAAGGGAGGAACCCGAGGGGACTGGAGAAGAGAGAAAATGCAAAGATCCTGGTAACAAAAAGGCCTCCTTAAGCTCGAAACACAACACTGAAAACTTCAGTACCAATTATGCCAGGCACAAAGCACCAACCTTACAATGCTGACACCAGGCCTTTCAGAACATAAAGGAGTTCAGATGGAAACTGAAGTTTTACCACACTTTGCTGCAGAGCCTAATACGTGCAGTATCAATGACAGAGGAGAATGAGAAACAGCTGTTCAATCTGCTGTGATTTAGACTACTAAGGAACAAATTGCTGTTATTTTAATTTCCTTACAGGAATATCTGTTCCATCAATCCTCTCTTAAACAATGTGATTAAATAGAGCAATTTTAAAGAATTTCTTCAGAAATAAAACTTCTCTTGAGAGAAGGGCATGACCAAGGACTTTGGGATAAAAACCCCAAAATACTAAATGATTTGTGATGTCTGCACACTTAGCCAGACGCCCCAGGTTATTTTGTATCTGTTGTACCATTTCACTTAACTTTACAGAAAGCTTCTAATTGGCCTCTGGCTTTCAGGAGCCCCAAAGAAATTAAAATCTGCACGTCTTGCTCAAAACGCTGCTAGTATCTAGTATGTGAAAGGTCAATTTTGATAGTAAATGGAGGGGGCAAAAATTAATACAATAAAAAAACTGCCATTTGTGGTCAGCTCCTTAGATAGCCAATTTGCCTGGGAGGTATTTTTGAGCATATTTTATTAGGGAGGCAATAGATGCACCTGAAGAAGCACTAGTTTAAAATAAGAAGGTATATTTTAGCTCATCATAAAGTAATAAAAGTAACCAAGAAAATTCCTCTCTCATCCATATGTGCCCAGAAGAACCCACTGAGTATAGGAATCACACAAAAGCCATCTGTTAGGTTCTCAAAAAGACAGACAAGAGCTGTACATATCACAAACAAGAATTTCCCACACTGCAGCCATCAAATGTGTGTGTGTCAGGCACATCACAGGTGTGAATTCCACACACATTTTATAGAATCAGCTGTGTCTGTAAATATGTGAGCATATAGGTCACATAAATTTGCAAAATAATTGCTTTTGGGCACCTGAAGTTACTTTCACAGTTCATCTCACGGCAAGTTGCTGTACCAGCAATGGAGTCATTTTTCCTTGTACCCAGCACAACTAGAAATCCCAATACACAAGTTGTACCCACAAGCACTGGTGTTGCTTCGTCCTTGGAAGCATGAGACTACAGATAAGTAAAAGATGTTCAAAAATGAATGCAGTATTGCCGTGACTAATTTTTTTTATTTTTGTAGTCCATAAGCTTGAAACAACATGTTGAAGAAACACTTCCAGAAGCACATCACTAAACCTCATGAGAGCACACAGAGCAGCTCCTGCCCTAACGGTTTGGAACATCACAAAGAGCTGCTACACATCCAATTTATTTCT